CGTATGAGAGTTGATGAGAGTGGATGAGAGGGAATGAGAGAGTATGAGAGTGGGTGAGAGGGAATGAGAGCGTATGAGAGTGGGTGAGAGGGAATGAGAGAGTATGAGAGTGGGTGAGAGGGAATGAGAGCGTATGAGAGTGGGTGAGAGGGAATGAGAGCGTATGAGAGTGGGTGAGAGGGAATGGGAGCGTATGAGTGTGGGTGAGAGGGAATGAGAGCGTATGAGTGTGGGTGAGAGGGAATGAGAGCGTATGAGTGTGGGTGAGAGGGAATGAGAGAGTATGATAGTGGGTGAGAGGGAATGAGAGCGTATGAGAGTGGGTGAGAGGGAATGAGAGCGTATGAGAGTGGGTGAGAGGGAATGAGAGCGTATGAGTGTGGGTGAGAGGGAATGAGAGCGTATGAGAGTGGGTGAGAGGGAATGAGAGAGTATGAGAGTGGGTGAGAGGGAATGAGAGCGTATGAGAGTGGGTGAGAGGGAATGAGAGCGTATGAGAGTGGGTGAGAGTGTATAAGATGGGATGATAGGGGATGAGAGGGGATGAGAGGGGATGATAGGGGATGAGCAGGGATGAGAGTGTATGAGTGTGTTGGGGAGTGTATAAGAGGGGATGAGAGTGTATATGATAGTCTATGAGTGGGTATGTGTGGGTACGAGAGTGTATGAGAGTGTATGAGAGGGAATGAGATGGGATGAGAGGGGAGGAGAGGGGATGAGAGTGAATGAGAGTGTATGATAAGGGATGATGAGAGTGTATGAGAGTATATGGGAAGGGATGAGAGTGTATGAGTGTGTACGGGAGAGTATGACGGGATGATAGCGTATATGATAGTGTATGGGAGGGTATGAGTGTGTACAAGAGTGTATGAGAGTGTATGAGAGGGGATGAGAGTGTATGAGAGAGGATGTGAGGGGATAAGAGGGGATGGGTGGGAATGAGAGTGTAATTGAGTTGTATGAGAGTGGATGAGAGCGGATTAGGGGGTATGAGTTTGTATGAGAGGGGATGAGAGTGAATAAGGGTGTATGTGAGTGTATGAGAGAGGATGAGAGGGGTTGAGAGTATATGAGAGTGGATGAGGAGGGATGAGAGTGAATAAGGGTATATGTGAGTGTATGAGAGAGCATGAGAGGGGTTGAGAGTGTATGCGAGTGGATGAGGAGTGATGAGAGTGTGTAAGAGAGTGTATGAGAGTGTGTGAGAGTGTATGAGAGGGAATGGGAGGGGATGAGAGGGGATATGAGGGGATTAGAGGGGATGAGTGTGAATGAGAGTGTATGAGAGTGTATGAGTGTGTGTGGGAGTGTATAAGAGGGGATGAGAGTGTATATGAGTGCATATGAGTGGGTACGAGAGGGTGTGAGAGTATATGAGAGGGAATGACATGGGATGGGAGAGGATGAGAGGGGATGAGAGTGAATGAGAGTGTATGATAAGGGATGATGAGAGAGTATGAAGGTATAGGAGAGTGTATGAGAGTGAATGAGAGGGGATGAGAAGGGATGAGAGGGAATGAGAGCGTATGAGAGTGGGTGAGAGGGAAGGATAGCGTATGAGAGTGGGTGAGAGGGAATGAGAGCGTATGAGATTGTGTGAGAGGGAATGAGAGCGTGAGAGAGTGGGTGAGAGGGAGTGAGAGCGTATGAGAGTGGGTGAGAGGGAGTGAGAGCGTATGAGAGAGGGTGAGAGGGAATGAGAGCGTATGGGAGTGGGTGAGAGGGAATGAGAGCGTATGAGAGTGGGTGAGAGGGAATGAGAGCGTATGAGAGTGGGTGAGAGGGAATGAGAGCGTATGAGAGTGGGTGGGGGGAATGAGAGCGTATGAGAGTGGGTGAGAGGGAATGAGAGGGTGCGAGAGTGGGTGAGAGGGAATGAGAGCGTAAGAGAGGGGGTGAGAGGGAATGAGAGCGTAAGAGAGGGGGTGAGAGGGAATGAGAGCGTAAGAGAGTGGGTGAGAGGGAATGAGAGCGTAAGAGAGTGGGTGAGAGGGAATGAGAGCGTATGGGAGCGGCGGGTTAGCGCATCACGGTGGCGGATCGTCGCAATGCGGCCGGCAGGGTGGCCGCATTGCGCATTGCGACGGCGGCGGCCTGGTCGGCGCGATGCGCGGAGCGGCCAAAAGCAGGACGCAATGCGCATCGCGGCGGCGGCGGCCCGGTCGGCGCGATGCGCTTTGCGGCCCGAAGCTGGCCGCAATGCGCATCGCGGCGGCGGCTGCTCCTGATCGTCGCGAGATGCATCTCGCGACGATCGGGCCCGATGCATCGGGCGATGCGCTGTTCGGCGCGCCGGTTTGTGGGTGCATCGCGACAGCGGTCTGATCGACTTTATTCATTCATATTAGTAGTAATTTTCGAGTAACAAGGGACTAAACGTGAATGGATGGGGAAAGGCTTTAGGGCTAAGGCACGCACCGTTGATAGGAAGTCAGATGCTGCTAACGAACGCCTTGGATGCGTGACGGGGAAGGCAGCTGGCGAAAGGTATGATAGCTACTAGTAATAGCGTGAGGAATAGCTGATGGCGGGAAGTAAGTTGGAGAGCTGCGCTGGGGTCAAGGTTCTGTACTTGGTTGGAACCGTAGCGGACATGGGGTTGTACAGCACGTCGGGTCGTGGTGTGGTTACGGTGGGCTGGAGGCTCGACGGTACAAGCGTGCATCAAACCTCTCCGCACGAGTTGGCGCGAGCGGGAAATCGGCCTGGTTTCAGGAATTTCTGGCGGGGGTTTCATGTGTTACCATTCGCGTGAAGCCCTAGCTGTTGATGGTGACTGATTCCGTGACCCCGCTTACCAAGCCCGTCAGGACACTCGATACAGTTACCGTACGCTTTTTTTTTTTTACCATTGACGTTATCGGGTCACATGATGGTTACCTGTGACATATTTTCCCTATTTGTTAGTAAATGCTGAAGCTTGATTCAATTACTAGATAACGGTTCTTGAACTGCAGGTACATGTGCAATCTTTTGTTGCCCAACAGCTCTGTCAGCATTCCATTATCCGTCAGCACCTTTCCGACACCCCTTCCGATATACCCCTTTCCCTGAGTCCCCCGAACCGCCAAACATGTGTCCACTTCCTCTGCTCTATTTCGCGACTGACGGATGGATTCCCTTTGCCACAACGTACAAGTGCACCTGAAAATATTCGGTGATTGTGGACGGAATATGCCGCAAACTTCCTTGCTGACACAGATCTCCTTCTCGAATCAGTGTGCATGAAACTGTCCACCTCAGATATTTGAAATTACACGCAAGAACGAGCGACTCGTATTTACCGATAAGACTCGTCCCTCGACTTTTGGAAGCGTGGGGGGTCGTCTGCCTAAACTTTCCCTAGGAAGATTCTGGCCGATATCTCCCCTTTCAAATGAACCCAACCTTACTCCACTGAAATCTACGTGGCTGCTGCTCATCTCACCCTTTCACTGTTTCTCCGAGCCATCTTCCACATTGCGGGCGGGGCGGACGGACCAAGGTGTCGTCCTCCCCCTTATACCGCGTCCCCTCCCTCGATCGATCGCAGGGTCGCTGTCAAAAACCCAAAAGGGCACCCGATTGCAGGTTCGGGGCAAGATTGGTAGGATGTGACAGCAGCCTTGCGATCGCGGATCAATTTAGAGCCCATGGTGACAGGGTCGACAGTTTTAGGGGGAAAAAACCGTCGATCCTCATAAAATCCCAGATCGGTGCAGGCGCGGTACAGTAGCACATCAATCGTCATCGAGGGCAGGTGACAAAGATCGCTGGCCCCCCTTCACTGTACTTCCGCGACTGGCCACGAAACCTGGTTCACTAGTAAATTGCAAAGCTACGGTTGCTTTGTAGCTGCCCTCGAATGACCTAGGGCAGGATCGATCGAGGGTAGGGACGCGCCCTTATCCCTGCAATGCAATGCATGAAATGCAAGCTTCTTGTCATCCAGCCCAAACCACATTTCGCCACGCGAAGCTGCCGAAACTGCAGTGCTGGATGGTTTGTCATGACGCGTCTCGTCTCGATTCATTGAAGCTTTGCCTCCGACCTTTGTCCATTGACTCTCGAAAGAGGCAAGCCTCCGGATCCACGTTTCTCGTTTCGACCAATCCGCTCGTCCTCACACTCCAAATGATTCGCCAGTACAGGCCCCCCTGACCGATCGACATCGCACCGGCCTCACGAGAGTCGCGGAAAACACGAGGCTGTCATGCTATTGCGGCATTTCTCCCACCCCGTTTTCACCGCACCCCTCTCTGGTTGGACCGTCCTCATCCACTCATCTCAATCCTCCCCTAATGATCCCTCGCGCCGCCGCCTAGTGTCAGATGCCATTTTTCCGCTGAGATTACTCTCCTGCCCCACACACTTCTTTCCGCCCTTCATCCGCTGTTCGCCCTCGTCTCCACCACGCACACATCACACCACACCGCCTCCTTCCCCGCCCCCATTACACACCCACTTCCACTTCCGCCTGTACAGCGTGCCCATCCAGGTTCCGAAATCTCCCTCCCTCCCCACCGCACAATCCGCGCGCCGCACCCCTCAGTGCCCCCTACACCCTTGCTCAACGCTGACTGGTCGCTGCGGATCTGCCCTCGTGTGTCTGGTCGGGCTCGACTCGACTCGTCATGAGCTGATGGCCTCTTTCGTATTTCAAAATTTCTCCCAGTTTTAATTCGGTTCAAAAGGTCAATAAGTTCAGTTCTGTACGGTGCAAAGAGTTTACAAACCAGTGACTTCTGACCACCTTTTCCAATCCAACCGCTCCTGCAACCTCTTCCCCCTCGGGCACACGCATAAGACCTTCCTCAGCTGCAGCTGTCATCCCAACAAAGTCTTGCTCGCTCGAGCTAGCCCTCGTTGGTCACACACCCGTATTTACTACTCGTAGAACAGCATAATCCTAGCATGCTCCCTGTCAGTCCCCAAAAACCCCTAACGGGCAACGAGTGAAGTCTCTTCTATTCCCAATCTGTGTAGGCCGTCGAAGCAGCACGCCGCAAGGGATCAGACCGATGCCGTTCACCGTGTTCGCGCGCAACAAGCGGCAGAGCGGCAAACCGCACCGCGAGGCGTTCCTGCCCGAAGAATCTCCTGTCCGCATTCTCTCTCATCCCCTTCCTTGTTCGCGTCCAGCTGACCGTTCATCGAATGAGCCGCTCGTGATTCGCGATCTCTCCACCTCCGCTTCCTCCGCGTCGTCCTCCTCTTTTCCGTCTGCCTCCTCCTCCCTCTCCTCCCCTTCTACCGCGTCATCCTCCTCCCGCGCCACCTCAATTTCCTCCTCACCCTCGTCCAGATCAACGTCACCATTGTCCCTTACCCCGCCTTTCCTCCTCGCCGCGACTCCCGCGGCTTCTCATGCCACACCGGACCCGGCGTCTCTCCCCGAATCCACGTCACCCTCCACGTCACCTCCAGCGTCACACCCAACGCAACTGCCTGAGGTCGAGTCCCTCCCCTCGGCCTCCTCAAGAACGCGTCTCGTTCCTCTCCCCGAGGCGCACATTTCTCCGCGCGAAGACCCTGCCGGAATGTGCTCCGGGGAATGCGCTGAGCGCAGCAGCGCCGATGTCGGAACGCTTGACGGGAATTTTGACGGGATTTTTGCCAACAGAAGATGCAGCAGAGATGCGTCGACATTGACCGAATCCGTGTGCAACTACGCGCAGCCGAACGACAGCGACGGAATGCTTGACGGAAACCAACCAACGGAAGACGGAAAGCGTCGAGAGATCGGGACACGGAGGATCAGTGTCAGCAGCACCACTAGCAGCGTCGGCCGCAGCAGCTGCAGTAGCGCGGGAAGCAGTATAATCAGAGGAAAAGGCTTCGCTAGAAGCAGCAGCGTTTCAAGCAACACGTCGAGCGGGAGCAGCAGCGACAATGGCGACAACAGCAGCAGCAGCAGCAGTGACCGCGGCAGCAGCGCCAGGAAGAGTTTTTTTCGCCTACCTGCCTCTCCGGTATGTTCCGGCCCCCGGGTCTGGGACATTTCAGAAGACATGTTTTTTTTGGGGGTGGTGGGGGGAGAGTTGACTGCCTTATATTCCTGCTCCAGGTTGCCTCTCTAAAGCCTGTTTGATTGATTTCTGCACTTGGAAAGTCTTCATTTTGGGGTTCCCATTTGTTAATCTCATGATTTTCTTCCTTCCACCCCGCGCTTGCTCCCCTTGCTCCCCCAGTGGCCGGCGGTGAGCCCCGCTTCACTCTTCCTCCGCCTCGCGCAATCCCGCTTCCTCTCCGCGGGCCTGCGCCCCCTCCGCGTCGACCTCGACGCGTCTACCTCCATCCGCTGCTGGCTCCCCGCGTCCGCCGCCGCCGCCGCCGCCGCCGCTACCGCCGCGGCCGCCTCGCGCAGGCGCGCGCAGCAGCAGGCGCGGTGGGAGCGCAACCCGCCGCTGCTGCTGCTGCACGGGTTTGGGGGACCGGGTCACCAGCAGGGGGAGCAGGGAGGCAGGGGTGGAGACGATGCGCGCAACCATGACAATTCGGGAGAGTCGAAATGTGGTTCGGCGGGGGACGCCGCCACAGTGCACTGGCACCAGCTGGTTGGGAGCTTGTCTCGGGATTTCGAGTTGTATGTGCCGAACCTGGTGTGGTTTGGAGAGTCTGGTGTGGAGGACTGTGAAGAACTGGAAGGGAGGAGGAGGGACGGAGTGAGTGGGGAGGTGGAAGAGTCGGTGGAGGTGGAAGAAGGGGAGGAGGACAAGGAGGGGAGCGAGGAGGAAGAGAACGGGGAGGAGGTGAGGGTGGGAGAAGAGGAGAGGAGCAGGGATGAGAGCTCAAAGTACTCGATACAGTTCCAAGCCAATTGCATGATGCGGCTGGCAAGAATACTCGGATTGTCAAGGTATACATAATACACACACCTCCCAAGACCCCTACATTTGGACAACATTTCCCTGCACAGCTCTGCAGCTTTCTCTTGCCAGCTCAACTCTGCACTGTGTCAGCCATTCTTAGCTGGTCCCTTGCTTCTTTTCTTCGTCCCTTTCCTGCCGTTTGCTCCTTCGCATCTTCACACCCCCTTGTATGTGCGTCCGCTGCTCAATTTGTCCAGGTTCGACGTTCTGGGGTTTGGTTACGGTGCGAGCATTGCATACCGCATGGCAGCGCAGCACCCGGGAATCATCCGAAGGGTGATTCTCACGTCTCCAACAACAATGATGACTCAGCATGACCTGGAAGCGACACTTCAGCCTAAGTGCACTAACTCGGCGCATACCAGAAGCAGCAGCAGCAGCAGCACTAGCAGCGGCAGCAGCGACAGCAGCAGTAGCAGCAACAGCAGGAGCAGCAATGACAACAGGCGGAGGCGGAGCAGTGACGGTGTGATGGAGCACGGCCTATCCACTGCCACTGCTACTGCTTGTGCTGACGCTGCTGACTCTACTCCCACCCCTGACTCGTTTTCAGCGCCATCTTCCCCGCGGCTACCGGAAACTGTGGCTGAGTTGCGGCAAGCGCAGCACGCAGCGTTTGAAGGCACATTCTGGGCGCCTGCGTTCCTGTACCGGGATCTGCTCAAGGTGCTGTTTTCTGGCAGCCGCACCCAGCAGCAGCACTGCTTGGACGAGTACATTCGAGACAGGCCGCTGAATCCGTGGCTGAATCCAGTGCTGAAGCAGGTATGGCGCCTGGTTGCTGCTGCTGCTGCTGCTGCTGCTGGTGCTGGTGGTTGTTGTTGGTTGGTGCTGTTGCTTTACCTGATGGGTGCTTCGTCTGGCTGTCGGAAAGTTGAACAATAATGGCTGGTTGGTTCCTTTTCGCAGGTAGTTTCTATGAGCGAATGCGAATCCCTTTTGTGTGTGTCTTTGTTGTCGTTGCTGGTGTGCAACAGGAGGTTCTCATCGTGTGTGGAAGGAAGGATCCGATCGCTCCTTTGCCATTCGGGAAAATGCTCTTGCAGTAAGCCCTTACATCCCACTCAAACCCCATTCATTAGATCACTTCTTGTATAAGTTAATTTGTCTGATGCTCTGCATGCTTTGACCTCTTTAATTCCCTATGCATAGTCCGTGTGACAAATAGCCCTTCATGCCTGCAGGCTCATTATTTACATGCTTCTGGTGCATATTTCATGCTTAGCTTTCTTAACTGTTGTTTATTTAAACTCTGCCTGCCTTTCCTCAATTCTGCCCTCTAACCTCTCAGACACCTGGGCGTCAGCTCAAGGCTGGTACTGGTGAACGACGCACGCCACATGCCACACGCACAGTGCCCCAAAGAGTTTGCCTCCCTGGTTCGCTACTTCCTGCACGCTCCACATGGCTGTGAGCATGTCGGTGCTGTGGCAGTGTGCGCTACAGCACGGCATGGCAAGCTGGCGCTTCTGCTCCCCAAACCAAGGAATTTTGTCTCGACTCCGCCGTCTCCTGCTTCTCTGTCCAGGGGAGGAAGAAAATGGTAGTCATGGTGACTTGCTGACTGCGTGCTAACCAACATGGTGTGAATAATCGGGGTTTGCATAAGCATTGGAGCTCAAGTTCCTCGGCGTTTAACGCGTTGCAGCTGATGGATTGCAACTAACATGGGCCATATTGGTCTTGTGCTGGTTTGGTTGAATGGTGTCAGTCAGCCTATCTTTCAAATGCATGCATGGGATGCCATGTATCGTATCTACTATCAAATGCTAAAACGAGTTCTCTTTCCATAGACACGCGGAGCGTGGTTAAACGAAGCACGATGCTCTTGTCACTTTCTCTAAGTTTTGTTCTCTTGATAGAAAAGATGGTGGCTACTTATAAAGAGTCATGTACAAGGCCACTTGGCCAAGATGTCTGCCTCCGAGTCAAGGCATATATATTTATACTTTGTTTCACTCTGAGTTCTCATCCACTTTCTCTAAGCTCACATAAATGATGTACTGAAGTGTATCGCCTGGTTTATTGAATATCGCCGGGCTTTTCCGATGTCCCAGATGCTGGTTGTGAAGCCAACATCGAGGCGCGTGGGCGTGGCGAGGCGAACCTTGAGGTTGCATGACGCTACTCCTTGAGATAGCAGCCACTTTGCTAACTCACTACATCTACCATACTCAACTGAAGAATGATTCGTGAGTTCTGGTGACTCCCGCTCTTGTAATTCCTGAACCTGCTCAGACGGACTAGGCCGGCCAATTTACACACCATGGCGACTTACACTCCGAAGGCCATTCTTATCACTGGAGCTGCTGGTTTCATTGCTTCACATGTTGCTAACAGAATTGTTCGTTTCTATCCTCAGTACAAGGTCGTCGTGCTGGATAAGCTGGACTACTGCTCAAGCTTGAGAAACCTGGAACCATGCAGGTCATCTCCGAACTTCAAGTTTGTCAAGGGAGACATTGCAAGTGCGGATCTTGTGAACTACCTCCTCCTGACGGAAGGCATCGACACCATCATGCACTTCGCAGCTCAGACGCATGTCGACAACTCGTTCGGCAACAGCTTTGAGTTCACCAAGAACAACATCTACGGAACGCACGTCCTCCTCGAGGCCTGCAAGGTTGCTGGAACCATCAAACGTTTCATCCACGTCAGCACCGACGAGGTGTACGGAGAGACAAGCCTGGACTCACTTGTGGGTAACCATGAGGGGTCTCAACTGCTTCCAACAAATCCGTACTCCGCCACCAAGGCTGGAGCGGAAATGCTTGTAATGGCCTACGGTCAGTCCTACAATATTCCCTGCATCACCACCCGAGGAAACAACGTTTACGGCCCGAACCAGTTCCCCGAGAAGCTCATCCCCAAGTTCCTTCTCCTCGCCATGCAAGGGAAACCCTTGCCGATCCATGGAGACGGCTCCAACGTCAGAAGCTATTTGTATTGCGAGGATGTTGCCGAGGCATTCGATGTGGTCCTTCACAAGGTAATTGACTGATGAATTTCCAGATCTCTTAATTGCTTGTTGCGTTGCTTCATTTTTTTTTGCGGTGTACTAAATCTTCTGAACCGTATTTGCAGGGTACTGTTGGTGAAGTGTACAACATTGGGACACGCAAGGAAAGGCGTGTCATCGACGTCGCTCGGGATATTTGCCGAATGGTTGGCCTAGACCCAGAGCAGATTGTCAAGTTTGTTGAGAATAGGCCATTCAACGACCAAAGATACTACTTGAACGATCAGAAGCTCAAGTCTCTTGGCTGGGAAGAGAGAACTTCGTGGGAGGTAGGGCTCAAGAAGACTCTCAATTGGTACAAGAACAACGTTGGATATTGGGGAGACATCTCTGGTGCTCTTGTACCGCACCCCAGGATGCTCACAGGGTACAGCATCGGAAGGTCGTCATCAAATCCCGATTCACTGGAAGAATCCGGTGCTCCAGATTGTCAAGTCAAGGAGACGAAGTTTCTGATTTACGGTAAAACTGGATGGATCGGTGGCCTGCTGGGAAATTTGTGCAAGGAGAAGGGGATTCCGTTTGAATATGGCCTCGCGAGACTGGAAGACCGGCGTGCAATTGAAGCGGACATCCTTCGGGCTGAGCCAACGCACATCTTCAACGCAGCAGGAGTTACAGGCCGTCCGAACGTGGACTGGTGCGAGAGCCATCAGGTTGAAACGATTCGAGCAAACGTTGTTGGTGTTTTGACCCTCGCTGATGTCGCAAGGTGTGTAAAGTGGATCCCGTTTGTCCAGCTTTTTTTAATCCACTTGTCTACTATCTCTAACAATCGAGACGATTATTTTGTGCAGGAACCATGGAGCTCTGGTAGTGAACTTTGCAACTGGCTGCATCTTCGAGTACGACGAATCTCATCCGACGGGAAGTGGGGTTGGCTTCAAGGAGACAGATTCCGCAAATTTCTTTGGATCCTTCTACTCTAGGACCAAAGGAATGGTAGGTTCTGAGCGGAGGCTCCTGCACATCACTCATGCATGATTACGCGTTGTTACGGCCCTGACATTTTTCTGGGTGTGAGCAGGTGGAGGAGCTGCTGAAATCGTATGACAACGTCTGCACTCTGCGGGTTCGCATGCCCATCTCTTCCGACTTGTCCAATCCAAGAAACTTCATCACCAAGATCACCCGCTACCAGAAGGTAAGGCGAAATGTTTTTGTAATATGACTCACCGCAAAGCCTTCCCGTTTCGTGATCTCCTCTCACAATAAGGACTGACTAACCTGGATGCTGTGTAGGTCGTGAACATTCCGAACTCCATGACGGTGCTTGATGAACTTTTACCAATCGCGATTGAGATGGCGAAACGAAACCTGACAGGGATCTGGAACTTCACAAACCCTGGAGTGATCAGCCACAACGAGATTCTCGACCTTTACAAGAAGTACATCGATCCTGCGTTCACGTACACCAATTTCACCATCGAGGATCAGGTGAGAACGACGCACTTCGCCGCTGCATATCTCGTCCGTGGTGTTGCCGTTAACTAAACAACTAATGACTGCGTTCCTATTGTCACGCAGGCGAAGGTCATTGTGGCTGCTCGCAGCAATAACGAGCTTGATGCATCAAAGCTGAAGGCGGAATTTCCGGAGCTTCTCGACATCAAGGCGTCTGTGATCAAGTATGTCTTCGAAGCAAACGCGAAGGTAGCCAAGTAAACAATGAATGTGATGGAGCATTGTTGTATCGCGCAGCATCATAGTGACAACCAGAGAAGTGGATTAGCTGGCGTGTTGTTATTTGTATCATGCTGTATTTGTCAATAGAGCAATAGCAATTGATGTTTCACAACAGCCTACGTTTGGAAGGCTGTGGTACACAGCAAAACCCTACCTGTGAGTGTGTGACATTCAGGAACTGAAGGTGTACCATCAAATGACATGTCAGGTGCACTTAAAGAAGGTGGGAGGCAGGAGTTTATCAGACAACATGCTCAGGTTGTTATTTCCATCAGACCAGGCAGTGAGTTGCCAGCTGCAACAATGCCACTCCATGTCAACACAAAATTGGATACCGTATTTGATCTAGGATGACCCCCTGCCACTATCGCCTGCCACTGCTAGCAGCAGCTTGATTTTGCTTTCCAGATTTGTCTGTTTGTGGGGGGGGTGCTACCAGCTGCCCACAGAGCCTCCATGGGAGCTCTGGGTGCAGCATGTGTCGCTCAAACACCCAGATGTCCTTCACATCGACCTGATGTATGCATAAATTACGGTAAAAAAAGTTAAGAAAAAGCCAGTCAGTAATGGTCAACTGATAGCAAGCATTGGGTGGTGTAATGAAAAATGAAGAATTAGGTCAAGCAAGCAAGTACATGACAGGTGGATAACACAGCAAGGTCATTGGCAAATTTGGTGCAAATCAACACAATCAGCGAATTGCAGCATAGCATTCTGCTCGTGCTAGACCGATCTTGAGCTTACAGGCATTATAAAAGTGGCAAAAAAGGACACACACCTCAGCATCTGGATCCCCACTGATCAGCTTCTTGCGCTTATCATATGCCGCAATGCGCTGTAGGCAAGAGGTTCACATGAAGCAAAAAAAAAAACAGGCAGATAGAGGCATTGTTGTAGGGAGGAGGAATATGAGACGGACAAGTGAACACAGGTGATAACAGAACAACGGGGCAGGGAGGAGGGAAAAGAGGAAGGCGTGCATCAGGGATGAAAGTCAATGATGTAAGAAAGAAGAGCCTCACCTGCTTGCTCTTAATTTCAAGAGTGAGCTGCACGAAGCCATTCTCTGGTTTGCTCTTCTCAAGCGAAATCTGACAGGGAAACACAAGTCACAGCATAGTCCCACCCACACAGTACAACCAAAGAGGCAGATTTAGCACATCTCAAGATTACCACGATATACGGGTTGGACGTATTGAGGGGCGAAAGGGGTTGGGGAGAGCGGCGTAGAAAGAGGGGATTATGGTGTGGGATGAAGCATGTGGGGGGAAGAGAAGAGACCGAGCCACATTGAGAAACAAGGGGAAAAAAGAGGGGGTGGGGGGGATGCACGCAGGGGGGACCAAAACAGGTTATAAAAATTTATGAAAAAAAAAAAAAAGCTGACAAGAGACCCACATAGACTACACACCCACGCACCAAGCGTGCTTGCAAGGTCTTAAACGAAAGGGGAGGCTTGTTGCTGGATGGAACAACGGCCTTGCTGTTTCCTTCAGACGTCCCCACCAGGTGCCAGTCCACCCGGGCTATGCCACTCTCAGCCCGATGCTTGAGCGAACTCTTCAGTGACTGGAGAGAGAGGGGAGGAAAGAAATGACTTTATTGCTGACTTAGCAGGAACAACGGCCTTGCTGCTGCCGTAGACGTCCCCACGAGGTGCCACTCCACCTGAGCTATGCCGCTCTCAGCCCGATGCTTGAGGGAACTCTTCAGTGACTGGAGAGATGGAGGAATAGTGAAGAGGGTGAGTTGGGTGGGTGGGGGTTAAGCTGATGGTGCAGCATACAGAGAAGGCGCTCTCTGTGACCAGATGCTGCAAAGATGTGCCATTGTTGAGGCGCCTCAAAAGTCATCTCAATCTTTCTAGGCGCCTCAAACATTGTGTGAAAAGATTGAGGCGGCTCAAGAAAGAACGTACCGTGAAGGCGCTCTCGGTGACCAAATGCTGCAATGCCGTTTGACATTTAAGGCGCCTCAAACAGTGTCTCAAAGATGAAGATGACTCAAGAAAGAACGTACCGTGAAGGCGCTCTCGGTGACCAGATGCCGCAATGCGGTGCGATCATCTGCTGCAATGGCACGATTGATCTGCGTGACACACGACGGATTGAGGGCAGGTGGGAGAGAGGGAGGGATGTAGGGGGGGGGGAGGGAGGGAGGGAGGGAGGGAGGGAGGGAGGGAGAGAGGGGGGGAGGGAGAGACGGAGGGAGAAAAATGGAGAAATGACCACTGAACAGCAGACAAACCATGGTGAAGAATGAACTCCGTTTGATGCAGACATGGCATGGCATGGCATGGCATGGCATGGCATGGAACGCTGCATGACATGTAGCATCACACCTAGCACAGCGGGACATACAGCACCTGTTTGTATGTGCCGGCAAGCTCCCGGTAAAGCCCGTGCCGGGAGTATCCCCTGTTGTGACGCCTCAGCATAGCAATCGTGTACCCTGTCTTCAGCTGGAGAAGGGAGGGAAAGGGGGGAAGAGGGGAACGGGAAAGAAAGCTGAAATGGATAAATACATGCCAGCCCCCAGCAGAACCTGTGCAAAAGAATTCCCCTTTTGTGGCGCCTCAGCATAGCAATCGTGTACCTTGTCTTCAGCTGGAGACGAGGAGGAGGTGGGATGGGGAGGAAGGGAGAAGAGAGGAAGGAGAGAAAAGGAGGGATAGGGGAGATGGGAGTGGGAAGAGGGGAGATTTGAGTGTGTTGAAATGAAACTAGCTATGGTGATTCGGGAGAAGGGAGAGCGGAAAAAGGAGAAGGGAGAGGGGAAAAGGGAGAAGGGAGAGGGGAAAAGGGAGAAGGGAGAGGGGAAAAAGGGAGAAAGGAGAGGGGGAAACGGGAGAAGGGAGAGGGGGAAAGGAGGAGAGGAGTATGTATGGATGGCGGCGCAAGAGACAGGTACAATGTATTCTGAATCACGCTTTTAACAAGGAACTCTGAAAAGGGTGCATTGCATGGGGGTATGGTGGTGTGGTGGGTGTGGTAGCGATGGGTGCGGAGAGAAGAAACGAAAGGCAGTCGACAAGGGATGATCTAAAGAGAGAGAAGCAAAGGGCAATGGCTACATCTGGTAGAGCTGGCTACCATGCCATGCCATGCCATGCCATGCGATGCCACATCTTACCACATCACGCCACCCCATCCCATCCCACCCCACACCACCATCCCACCCCACCCCATCCCACCCCATCCCACCCCATCCCACCCAATCCCACCGCACGCCACACGTGTTCCTCACCACATCACTCCACTTGACCCAGCGTCTCTTCCACCCCGCCTTTGTGAACCAGCTGGGGGGGCAGGGAGGTTCAGGGAGGGTACGGGAGGGTACGGGAGGGTAAGGGGCGAGGGAAACGCAGGGAAGAGGCGAGGGTTCAGCCCATCCCATCCCACCGCACGCCACACGTGATTTGAGCCTCACCGCATCACTCCACTTGACCTAGCGTCTCTTCCACCCCGCCTTTGTGAACCAGCTGGGGGGGAGCAGGGAGGTTCAGGGAGGATCAGTGAGGGTACGGGATGGTACGGGGCGCGGGGGAAGCAAGCAGGGGAAGAGGCAAGCCTGGAAGAAAAAGCTTGGAGGTGGGGAGGAGACGGAATCAGATTAGCAACTTTGCATGCGGCTTTCGAGGTGACGGGAAAGGAGGCAAATCAGAGGCTCTCCTTCCAGTGCAGCCTTGCAAAGGAGCATGAAAAGGGGGAACAAGGTGGGAGGTTGAAGGGAGAGAGGGTGTGGGAGGGAATACAGGCGAAAGGGGACGGACGATTGGGGCAGGAGTGACAGCAGCTGCAGCAGCAGCGGTGGCGGCGGCGGAGGCGGGGGCGGAGGGGGCGGTGGGTTCACCTGGTAAGGAAGGGCATTGGCGGAAGAGGGCGGTAGGGGTCACCTATCACCCCCGGGCTCTGCAGATACACGCGCAGACGAGCCTGGGGAAGGGGGGAATTGGAGGGGAGAGGAGAGAGGGGGAAGAGGGGAGGAATACATTGGCAAGTGGGAGCGATGAGTGTTTCTAGAATGCCGGCAATAAGAGTCGCTGGGAGAGAGGGGAGTGGGAGGGGCGGGGAGATCGGAAAGAGGGGGAGAGGAGAGTGGAAAAGGGCGCCTCCAACCAATCCAAACCCCTCTAAATCCAGCCAAAGCTCGTCAAAACCCCTTTCGAGTCGCCTCGAAACCAGACGGGTATTCTCGTCCCCCCTCACTACCCTTTCGCGCAAACCCCTCCAAACCCCTTTCAATGTAACACCTCCTCGCGCACTTGCTGCTGCATGCCCTCCCGCACCTGCTATCGAAACGCAATTCCCTCTCTCGCACCAGCAATGATACTATATCCCCCTTCGCGCACCTGCTGCTATACCCCTCTTGCACCGGCCATTATACCCCTTCCCGCACCTGCTGCTGCATGTGCACCGGCCCTCGCGGGGGCTGCGTCTGCACGGGACCTCTAGGCGCCTGCGTCGCCATGGCCGCCGGGCGATGCGGCGGAAAATGCGGCGCCGAATGCGGTACCAGGAACTGACGCGCATGGGAAGAGAGGAGGCCGGCGGGAGCAGCAGCGGCAGCAGCGGCAGCCGTAGAGAGGATGGGATGGGAGGAGAACGAGGGGAAGAAGGTAGAGGAGGGAGAGGAGGGAGAGGAAGGAGAGGAGGGAGAGGAGGAGGAACGAGAAACTACGAGCGACTGCGAGCATTGCGCGCTGTGGTGAAGGTGATTATGACGAGAGTGACAGTCCTGGTGGGGGTAGTAGTGGTGGTGGTGGTGTTGCTGCTGATGTTGCCTCGGTTGGTAGCAGATCGTGGCAGCGGCGGCGGCGGGAAGGATGTCTGAACCTGCGCCGCCACTGGCGCCGCGAACACCGCCGCCAACGGCGCCGCCGAGCGCGGGCGAGAGGGCGTGGCGGGTCGGGAGGAAGGCGCGAGCCGGAGGTTCGGGGACGGATGCAACCCGGAGGGGCCGGCATGCTGCCCGAAGCAGATCTCGTGCCGCAAATCTCATCGCGACAAATGGACGGTCGAGATCGGAAAGAGAGTGAACTTCTCAGATCGTGCGGTTACGGACCGAGCACAGCACGGCGTCCGAATCAAGTACACGGCAAACCCATCACGACTTGACACAACGGCGATCCGGCGACGATCGGACAATCCGGCGATTAAAGGCGAGCGAAGAGCAGCGCGGACGCCTATAGCTACAATCCATGCCCTCACTTTCTTCCCCCGCTGCTATTCGCCCCTTGCTGCTGCGTGTGCCACGAGCGAGGCAAAGCGTGGGTGGTCACGAGGGACAAAAAACCTTCTGGAAGCATTTTCTCCTGCCCGGCTGATGAAACCACAATTTGTACGCGTAACAAGCGCCTTCCATGTGACTAGTAAAATGTTACTTCAAGAAACGCATATACTTGCGTACATTTTAGTTAGCTTCCAGTTTGCATTTGCAAGTTTGTGTGCTGTTCAGTTTCATAACTGCTCAGAACCTCATCTCAACGCTGTATAAACTCCTAAAACCGTGGACGATCTAGCGACACCTGATTCAACCGCACACAAATTAACCGATTGGTGAAGTGTCTCTAGATCCCACGGTCCCTTACTTCCCTTCCAGCTAACCTTCCCCTTCACTAAGCCAAGTTATTTTTTCCCAAATCCCAGTTCCTGCTGCCCTCCCAATCGTGTTCCTCGCTAGTCCGCATATCGTTCAGTCGCTCGCGGCACTCGCAAACGTCGCATAGCCTTCGCATTCCTTTCGTGCGGTGCGAGTCCCTGCGCGCCAATGCCGCCCAAGGGTAAGGGCAAGGCCGGGGGAGGCGGCGGCGGCGACGACAAGGGGAAAGGCGGAAAGGGCGGGGGAAAGGGCGAGCTCGGTACTTGCACGTACGTTAAAGGTACGTTGTAAGCATCCCTTCAAAGTTTCTTCTTTGCGATTTCGGAAGGAATTCGGGTTCTTTTTCGGGTGATTCACTCAGCGACACCTCGCGGTGTTCCGTCGCTGGGTTACGTTGACTAGCGAAGGGCGATCCGCACACAACGACTACATACATCGTAGCCTGCCTTTCTCGATCAAGAGCACTATCGCAAGAGCTCTAAAGAGTGCATCCATTTTAGTTTGCTCTCTTTAATCGACTCAACCAAGTCAAATTCACTGCCGTTTGGGCACCCAGCGTCCTTGTTGTCGCCTTGCGTCCCTTCCCCCCTCCCCCTTCCCTTCCCCGTTCCCTTTCCTCCGCCTTTCCTTCCCCTTTCCACCTCCTTTACACTCTCCCCCCTCCCACTCCCCCCTATCGCCCCCAAAGCGCGCCACATACTGTGCGAGAAGCAGGGGAAGATCAACGAGGCGTACAAGAAGCTGCAGGAGGGGTGGCACCGTTTCCGCTGCTTTTCTGCCACCCATTCATGCTCTCTGCTGCTTTCAACCCCCTCTGCTCCCCCGCAATTCCCCTTTCCCCCGCATTCCACCCACTTTCTCGAGTCCCCCTCCCCATCCACCTCTTCCTTTTCTCCTTCCCCCTCTCCTCTACCACCTCCCCCTCCCTCTCCCCCTCTCCCTCTGCCCCTCCCCCCTCTCTCCCCCCCCAGCGCGCCACATACTGTGCGAGAAGCAGGGGAAGATCAACGAGGCGTACAAGAAGCTGCAGGAGGGGTGGCTGGACGCGGGGGATAAGGTGCCGCCCGCCAAGTTCGGCGAAGTGAGTCTGGAGTGTGGATGTGTGGGTACGGTGGGTGTGGTGCAGTGTGGTGGGGTATGGTGGTGTGGTGCAAAAGGTGGGACCAGAGGGAACGGTGGTTAGGTGGGGGTGGTGGGGTGCTGTGCAAGCGGTTGTTTGGGGGGGGGGGAGGGGAGGAGGAAGATGGATGATTATCAGAGTGTTTTTTTGGAACGAGGTGAGCTGGGCGGTTCCAGTTGGTTGAATGCGATGGGAGGTGTTCAGATGTTGCTGGCCTAAAGGCTCCCCTTCTCCTCGCCTCCCTTCCCCCTTCCCCCCTCCCCTCCCCCTTCCCCCCTCCCCTCCCCCCTCCCCCTCTTCCCTCCCCCCCCTTTGCAGATAGCCCAAGCCTATTCAGAGTGTCCATCGGGCAAGAAGGGCGGCGATTTGGGCTGGTTCCCCCGGGGCAAGATGGCCGGGCCTTTCCAGGACGTTGCCTTCGCCACGCCCATTGGCGCCACGTCAGCACCCTTCAAGTCAACGTGAGTCAAGTCAACAGGGATTACGTATCTGGGTGGCAGGCCAGTGGATGGATCAGTAACGAACAGGTGGGCTGCTGAGGCCTTGCCTATCTGGGTGGCAGGCCAGTGGATGGATCAGTAACGAACAGGTGGGCTGCTGAGGCCTTGCCTATCTGGGTGGCAGGCCAGTGGATGGATCAGTAACGAACAGGTGGGCTGCTGAGGCCTTGCCTATCTGGGTGGCAGGCCAGTGGATGGATCAGTAACGAACAGGTGGGCTGCTGAGGCCTTGCCTATCTGGGTGACAGGCCAGTGGATGGATCAGTAATGAACAGGTGGGCTGCTGAGGCCTTGCCTATCTGGGTGGCAGGCCAGTGGATGGATCAGTAACGAACAGGTGGGCTGCTGAGGCCTTGCCTATCTGGGTGACAGGCCAGTGGATGGATCAGTAATGAACAGGTGGGCTGCTGAGGCCTTGCCTATCTGGGTGGCAGGCCAGTGGATGGATCAGTAACGAACAGGTGGGCTGCTGAGGCCTTGCCTATCTGGGTGACAGGCCAGTGGATGGATCAGTAATGAACAGGTGGGCTGCTGAGGCCTTGCCTATCTGGGTGGCAGGCCAGTGTAGGGATGGGCATTTGACCCGGACGGGTCGGGTCAGGAATGCTGAGAAGGCTGACCCGCCCGGGTCGGGTCGGGAAAACCCGGACGGGTCGGGTCGACCTGTGACCCGTCATTGTGATTTAGTGACGGGTATTTGCGACCCGTCGGGTCAGGTTGACCCGTCTCGTCCGGGTCGCGTACCCAGTCAAATGACAGGGTACGTAAGGTACGTATAAACTTAAGAATATAGTTGTAACATGTAGTTTACAATGTAGCAATTCAGACCTAACCCCCATACCCTGCTGCTATGTAACATATTTTGATCCGACCCGACCCGACCCGTGGTGTAACCGACCCGGTAACGGGTCACAAATACCCGTTCCCACGGGGCGGGTCGGGTCACCAAAACAGAGTCAAACCCGACCCGCTAACCCGACCCGACCCGACCCGTTAAGCTAACGGGTCGCCCTCAACGGGACGGGTCGGGCCGGGTCGGGTCAAATGCCCATGCTTAGGCCAGTGGATGGAGCAAGGGGTACAAATGTTGTCTTTTGGGGAAAAGCATGGTGTTTGGTTCAATACTACTGTACCACTTCTACATTTGTTTCCCAGAGCCGCTGTGCTGTGCTGCCCATCGTTTGTGAGGGGAAATTTCTCTCTTCACTGCTCCCTTAATTTGCTGCTTTATGTTCTTTTCCTGGTCTCTCTTTCCCTCGCATCATGGCCTCGTTGCATACAATCGCATACCCCCCCTTACAGGCACGGTTACCATGTAATTCTCGTGGAAGGGCGTAAGAACTGATGACGTGTATTCCAGTATTCTTATACAAGCTCTCGGGAGTAGCTTGCACGTGTGCAATCAGCATTGACTGGATACTCTGCTTGAGTAATTTTGAACTAGGTTAGACAGTTACTCAGACTGTACACCGTCGTTGTTTTGGGTGCTCGAAGAGTTTGAATGATACGGTCGGGTAAGGGAATATCTGTATGCTGAAGGCAAATATTTTGACCTGACTGACTGTTCATATGCTACTGTCAGTGAGCCTCCATGGGTGGTACATTGCTGGTACGGTACGGATTGACAGTTGTTGCAGTCAGTCAGCATTTGTTGCCAGTGGCCAAACCTGGAATGCACCCTCATTTTAGACCACCTCATTAGAGGAGGAACTTGCTACAGTGTTTGGTTTTAGCGGGCTGGTTGTGCGAGGCGACGAGCGTGCCTTGGGAAGTTCCGTTCATGCTGAATGTCAAAATATATGCATGTTATTATCTAGGCTATATTGGGGCTAGCCTAAGGGGGTACAGAAAACTTCTAGACACCCTAGTCTTGTACCCCAACTTTGACCTAATGCATCAACCTTTTCTTCTATAGTTTCTAAGATGGTATCTAGAGCCTAGAGGTCTTTAGGACCTAAGATAAGGGCCCACCCGTTACCACGTTACTTCACCTGCCTTGCCTGCTGCACACGCGCGGCCCTTTTTTTTCCTGCGCGCGTCGCTTAAGCAGCCCGTGCGCAGCCCGTTTAGGCACGTTTTCGGCCCCGCGCGCCACGTCAGCCGCCCGCGCAGCCTGCCGCCGGCCCGCGCACAGCCCGCTTAGGCCCCGCGCGCCGCGTCCGCCGCCCGCGTAGCCCGTTTTCGGCCCCGCGCGCTACGTCAGCCGCCCGCGCAGCCTGTCGCCGGCCCCGCGCGTCGCCTCCTCCGGTGACGGCGCGCTGCCCCCCGTCGCCCTTCACGGCGCCTGTGTGACCCGCGCGCTGCCCTGCACCAGCTACGCCGCCCCTGGAGCAGGCGCCCCTAGACCCAGAGCAGCCGCCCCTGGACCCCGAGCAGCCGCCCCTGGACCCAGAGCAGCCGCCCCTGGCCCCTGCAGCAGCCGCCCCTGGAGCAGCCGCCCCTGGACCCCGAGCAGCCACCCCTGGCCCCTGAAGCAGCCGCCCCTGGTGCAGCCGCCCCTGGACCCTTGAGCAGCCGCCCCTGGACCCAGAGCAGCCGCCCCTGGCCCCTGCAGCAGCCGCCCCTGGACCCCGAGCAGCCGCCCCTGGCCCCTGCAGCAGCCGCCCCTGGTGCAGCCGCCCCTGGACCCTTGAGCAGCTGCCCCTGGACCCAGAGCAGCCGCCCCTGGCCCCTGCAGCAGCCGCCCCTGGAGCAGCCGCCCCTGGACCCCGAGCAGCCACCCCTGGCCCCTGAAGCAGCCGCCCCTGGTGCAGCCGCCCTTGGACCCTTGAGCAGCCGCTCCTGGACCCAGAGCAGCCGCCCCTGGCCCCTGCAGCAGCCGCCCCTGGACCCCGAGCAGCCGCCCCTGGCCCCTGAAGCAGCCGCCCCTGGACCCTCGAGCAGCCGCCCTTGGACCCAGAGCAGCCGCCCCTGGCCCCTGCAGCAGCCGCCCCTGGACCCCGAGCAGCCGCCCCTGGACCCCGAGCAGCCGCCCCTGGCCCCTGAAGCAGCCGCCCCTGGTGCAGCCGCCCCTGGACCCTCGAGCAGCCGCCCCTGGACCCAGAGCAGCCGCCCCTGGCCCCTGCAGCAGCCGCCCCTGGAGCAGCCGCCCCTGGACCCAGAGCAGCCGCCCCTGGCCCCTGCAGCAGCCGCCCCTGGACCCCGAGCAGCCGCCCCTGGTGCAGCCGCCCCTGGACCCTCGAGCAGCCGCCCCTGGACCCAGAGCAGCCGCCCCTGGCCCCTGCAGCAGCCGCCCTTGGAGCAGCTGCCCCTGGATCCCGAGCAGCCGCCCCTACACCCCGGGCAGCCGCCCCTGGACCCCGAGCAGCCGCCCCCGGCCGCTGTAGCAGCCGCCCCTGGTGCAGCCGCCCCTGGACTCCGTGCAGCCGCCCCTGGACCCCGCGACGCCGCCCCTGGACCCGCGACGCAGCCCCTGGACCCCGTGCAGCCGCCCGCCGTGTGCCGGCCCTGCTTGCCCGGCAAGTGCCTGCTCTTCCTGCCATTGGTGAGCACCTGCCTTGTTAACGCGTTGCCGCGCCATCTGCCTGCCTGCCTACCTGCGTGCGTGTCTGCCTGCCTGCCTGTCTGCCTACCTGCTTGTCTCCCTGCCTGCCTGTCTGCCTGCATGCCTGCCGCGCCTGCCCTGCCCGTGCTGCTACTGCTGCTACTTCTGTTACTACTGCTAGGCTACTGCTATTGCTACTGCTGCTACTGGTGGTGGCCAGATGCTGCTCCAGCAACGTCCACGCGAGTCTTTCCCGCCCCAGCATCTTCGTGAGTGGTACGCTGGTTGGGGTTGTAGGGGTGGTCGTGCTACAACTGCTGCTACTGCTGTTACTGCTGCTACTGCTGCTATTGGCGGTGGCCAGATGCAGCTCCAGCGACGTCCGCGCGAGTCTCTCATGCCCGAGCAGCTTCGTGAGTGGTACGCTCAGAGTAGAGGGTCTCTGAGTACCGTTCGCTGCCCGTACGTCATTCGCACTGGTGCTCAGACTGGTCAGACTTGCGGGACGCTTAGTCACACACAGTCCCGCTGCTTCGCCCGTTTGAGCGACGCCTGGCGTGCCGAGTTTGGCGACGAGGCTGAGCTCCCCGACTGGGTGGAGCTGCTTGGGTAGAGGGTAGATATATTTGCTCTTGACTATTATGCTATTCTCACTGCCATGTATGCATTGCCTACTAGTGTTGACCGTGCCTGTTACCTGTGCATACCGCCTGACCCATGTATAGAGCTTGCTGCTCTAGGTGCTGGTGAGGCTGCTGCTCTAGGGGCTAGTGTGTCTCCTGCTCCAGGTGCAGGTAAGTCTGCTGTCTCTGGTACTGCGCCTGCTGAGGCCTTGTACACCTTCACAATTGACTATGGTGCTTCTCGCTCCTTCTTTCGCAACAACACCACCCTCACGCCGCTCAGTCGGCCGGTTCCAGTCTCCCTGGCAAACCCCTCTGGGGGTCCAGTCCGTGCGACCTCCTCCACTGTCCTCCCTTGTCCTGCTGTCCCGTCCGGCACACTATCGGGTCTTTACTGAAAGAGTTTAGAAGAAAGAAGAGAGAGTTGCAATAGCAAAAATGAGGATACAAATAGCAAACTCTAGAAGGGTTGTACTTGCTATAGAGCACCCCACTACAGGCTAGAGCATAATATTCTAACACACCCCCATAGCCAAAGTGGGGTGTAATCAGCAGCGCAAGCAAAGCAGTACAAGCTCAGGGTGGATCACAATGTCACCACACATTCTGAGCACAAGTTCAAGAAGCAATAGTTTAAGTTCACAATTATGAGCAAAGCTAAGAGCTATCGCATAGGGCAAGTGAGGAGGAGGAGAGAGAGTGAGAGGAGAGGAGATAGGAGGCGACGGCTGAAGCTGCAGACACACGGGCAACAGGAGGCACACTGGCACAGTGGCTACCGGAACAACGCTCCGGAATACTGGAGTAACTGGCCCCGCGGCTAAAGTAGCGGCAGACGAGCAACGGACCCACGGGCGACTGGCACAGCTGGCTACGACTGGGCTACCAGAGCAACTCTCCGGAATACAGGTGCTGCTGGCGACACGACGACAACCTCCATTCAGCTTCCCCAAACTATCCCACTCCCCCTGACACACACCCGCTGCGACACGCCTAGCTCCACTCCCCGTTCACCCCCCCTTAGTACCACTCCACCGGCTCCAACAAGTCCACCCCCCCCCTCAGCGGCAGCTGCAGCACAAGGAGACGGAGGAGGAGGAGGAGCAGGGAACGGCACACAGGTGGGTCACCCCCATACCCCTCACCCCCAAACCCTAATGCAGGAGAATGGGGAGTAGGAGGGGTGGGGCGCTTGTAGAAGCATGGGGGACAGCGGGGAGGGCAGGGGCAGCAAGGAACGGGCCCACCACGGGCCTGGTACGGTCACCCGAGCCGCACGCAGGCGGCCCGAACCGCGCGCGGGCCTGGCGCCGCCCGTACGGGCCGCGCGCGGGCCTGGCGCAGCCCGTACGGGCCGCGCGCGGGCCTGGCGGAGTGCGTACGGGCCGCGCGCGGGCCAGGCGCAGCCCGTACGGGCCGCGCGCAGGCCACGACGGGTGACAGGGGGTGACGCGCGGGTCCCCGTCGCCCGTCGCATCGCCCCCCGCCGCGCGCCTCGGGGCGCACAGCGGGCAGAGAACTGCCGCGCGCCTCGGGGCGCACGGCGGGCAGAAAACCGCCGCGCGCCTCGGGGCGCACGGCGGGAAGAAAAACTGCCACACGCCATGAGGCGTGCGGCACCAAGTGTGGAGGTAGGAGTTGCAGCGGAAGCTAGGAGGTGGTAAGTCCACCCACAGGATCGATCCAAGGGGATCGACCTGCTCTGATAGCATGTAAGAGTTTAGAAGAAAGAAGAGAGAGTTGCACTAGCAAGAATGAGGATACAAATAGCAAACCCTAGAAGGGTTGTACTCGCTATAGAGCACCCCACTACAGGCTAGAGCATAATATTCTGACATTTACCTCCCCTCGTTCTCTATGAACTTGGTGGCGGGTTCTGTGCTACAGGACGCGGGTCTTCACCAGTTCACCCCTGCCTACGAGCGTGTGACACACTACACGTGTGCTCACATGGGTCTTAACCTGGCTACCTTCACTCGGCAGCCGAGGTCGGGCCTGTACACACTGACCACTGAGTCCCCTCAGGTAGTTGCGTCTACGTCTACGTCAGGTCAGTTGTCGGTCCCCTGCTCGTGTCGCACCTTGTCGCACTAGACCCTCCTTTGGCACCACCGCCTTGGTCACCCCTCGGTGCAGCGCCTTCGCAGCATGCAGCGTCGTGTCCTAGTCTCTGGTCTTTCCAGGGTTCTACCTCCCCTTCCACCCTCGCCTGCTCCTCCCTTTCTTCCCTGTGTCGAG